CTCGTCACAGGCGTCGACACAACCTGAACGTCAACGTCCGCCGCAGCCAGTGACAGGGGGGCGAGAAAAGCATTTCTCGCACTTTTCCTGACTGATGCAAACATGGCCGAAGGTTTTTCTTTTCTTCAGAGAGAAATACATATCAAATGGAATCGACATAAGGGAGTTGCTTCTCCTTATCCGGAGTGGAATCAACGCATGTGTCTCGTGCATAAACTGGAGATTCCAGTCGAAAATATTTACAATTTCTACATTCTACAGTCTCGGATTTTTTTTTTTAAAGCGAACTGACCAGCTTAGAAAGATTTAGCTATTTATTAGCCCTGAAAGAATAAGTAACAATTATGCATGCCAGGTCTTTTTTTTTTATCACCACGGGGAGTGGAGATTACGCATTGGAACTGTCACGCGATAAGTTACTTCGACAGAACTTTTGCATTTATTTTTCAACGGATTCTCTCTTTTTTTTACACAAAGCTTATTTTTGGAATGCCCGACAGGTGCTATGTTAGTCACTGACCAGACAAATTATGAAAATAAATTGACACAGCCTCGCATTTTCTAAGCGACAGTCACCCATAACTCAAACCTAATTGGAATAAAATTAAATAAAATACACCTTTGTGATGGCAAAGAAATGCTTGTAAGTCGGAGCTTGAGGGGAAATAATTATCTTCATTTGCTCAAAAATAGTTTGCACAGTATCTGCAAATTTTGAAGATCCAATAATCCCCCATTATTTCTTGGTACTTTCTGCTCTAATCTCAGCTGATTAGTGAAATAAATAATTTTTTCCATTTTGATCCATAATTGAACTCTCGAAACGTTTGCAAGAAATTCATCTCTTCCTCATAATCCCAAAATTGTTATGCTATGAATTTGCAGTTATGTGCGATGCATAATTTATTCACTCAAGCACCATGCCACCTCAAATGATAGACACTTCAGCTTTTTCTAGTTGAAAATTTTGATAAAATAGTATCTGGAAGTAAAAAGACTCCCATCTGTTGCAGAAATAAATTCCTTCATCTACATTTAGAAACAAGGCTTTTGAAGTCACTGTTTGCACCAAAAGCTTGTGCATCATTGAGATAAGAATCTGGCATGAAGGTTTTCCAGATTATTATCACCGAAGAAAAGTTAGGTTTAGAAAAGTGAGAATATCTCAAGATCTGTTGATTGGGTCAATTTTTATATGATATACATAAAGTTGAAAAACATCTTTGGCTTCAATTTAAGATGTTGTGGAATTTTTAAAATGTAAAATTTGTGGAGTTATTTGCTTCTGAAGTTTGCGCGTTGGGAATTGCGCCATAGGCAAAGCATCTTTTCTTTGCTGATTTTATTTCTTTTTGAAAGTGAGTTTTTATTGCACAATGTGGGATTGTATTTGTTGATTGTGTGTGTGATTGTTGTCTTCATGAAACCTGTGATCAGAGACAATAATGAGAGTCCTCTTTAAACATCCAAGGAGTGAGGATGCTCCAGCTTCTCTCATTTTTCTGCAGCCATAATGTAGTTTTGTACTTTTAAAATTAAATTCCCTTGGAGGCTGGGTAACTGCCTCAGCACTCAGATTTCTCTTGCATCTGGAATATTTTTAATGCAGCTTAAAATCTGCAATACCCATCCCACTTTTAGTGACCCCAAACCTGCAATATGTAGAATAGGATAACACCCAAAATTGGATATAGCCATGAATTCAACTAATTTAAAAATTTTCCCAATACTTTTTTCAACTTGGTCCAAAATTTTGCATGAGAATCAAGTGTAATGCACATTTTTGAATTCTAAAACATTTAAAAAATTAAATATACCCACTGTGATGAGCATCCTCCTTTTCCACTTTAATTTGAGAAAAAATGTACAGTTTTTACTGGAATGAATAAATGAACAGAACACTTTATTTGCCGCTTTTCAGCGTTCAAAAGGGTCAATCAAGATTTTGTACTTGAGCATACAGTATATATTTGTATGATAAATATACTGTTTTTTTATGTCGCGATTTATTACGTTGCCCGGTGACAAAACGTTTTGAATCTTGTAAGGAACTCCACACCTTTTTTGCGATGACACAGAAACAGGGGAAATCTTTTCCGTTTTTAGCATAAATATTTTCGCTTTTTTCTCCGACACGACAGCCAAGTTCTGCCACCATGCAACTTGGGTGGACGTGGTGGGAAAGCACAACGTTCTGACACAGTCAGTGGTCTTCCTTCACCTGTCAATAACACTTCCTCGGCTGAGAGCCGGAAGATCGTATATAAACACAAAGGGGGGACGTAAAGTGCGAGTTCGTGTTTTCGCACTTGCGGCTATTCTTGCAGGACGTCACCGATATCCTGTTATTGTTTCCCCTCGTCAGCATAAGCTTCCACAACCACTGCCAATGGGATTCAAGTCTTCCGCGCACCTGCCGAGTCAGAGATACGATATAATATACTGTATATACTCATCAGCTAGGAACTAAAAAAATAACTTTTCAGAAGTGCAGTACAGTTTATAAGGCATATTGCATTGGAGAAATGAGAAATAGAGTACCATCGGAATTTATAAAAAAAAAAACAGATTCAGAAGAGGCTTCAAAAGCGGCTCTAAAAAACCTGATTTAGGTTTGACCTCAAAATAATAGCTAACAATATTAAGATAAATCTGTTCTAACAAGCCTCGGAGTTTAAAGATTCCTTCATCAGATGAAATGTTGGGTTCTCTGTTTTTTCTTGGTCTTAATACAGCAGGCAAAATTTCGAACTTGTGCAATTCGCAATGAATTTGCCATAAGATTCAACTATAGGAAAAACAGTCCTTTATTTTTTTATTGAGAAAAAGGAATTCGTACGTACTTCATGAAAGCTCCTCATCAGAGAGCTGCGTATACTGGATGCATCAACCTTGATGGAGTATAGAAATCACTATTTTTAATTTTGCATTGCATTTGACACCGAATAGCATCCCCTGAAAGCCAAAGTGTTTTATAGTGAAATACAGTATTGTACGATACTCCTATGGATAAGAGTATTGGTAAAATTATCGTTTCTATGACGAACACGGCGAGATTTCAGTCTAAAAAATTTTGACAAATCGCTTTTGTGAGGTCCCGAACATGCGAGTGATTATAACTGAAATCCTGAATGCATTTGCATGATTTATAGTCAATTTTAGTTTCATTTCTGAACAAATGTGAACAGCAGAATTAAAATGCAATCCTTTGAGCGATTAAATAATTCCCCAGGAATATTGTTTGGGAGACGGATAATACAATCTTTTGGTTAAAATTTAATTAATTATTATACCGATTTCCTTGTTTTGCTCGTGAATTGATTTTCCAAGTTTTATTCTGGCGGGGGGAGGGGGTTGGCTAAATCGTAAACTTTTGAACCTAGAGTTTTAAACGCTGTTCTTCAACCGAGATTTTCAACACTGCGCACACCCACTTTCGTGCGTCATGCAAGGACATCTACTCGAAAGAAAGAGCAGAAGTCTGATTTGAATACAAAGGTGTCGCTCCTCTCCGAAATGTGATGATCACACTACAATTTCCTGTTCAAGGTTGCTCGCACATTTGGTCAAACTATGCGTCAACCACGCGCAACTGCGGAATGATTTTTATGTTGAGTAAAATAATCGTAAGCAAATACAGTACTGAGGTTTTATCCGTCTTCCGGATGAAATTTTATATACTTCCTTAGGTGGAGCACTAGAATCAGAACAGCACACTAGCATGCTCTGTAGATATCAAAGTTCCACGGATGGAACTTCGAAGCATGTCAAAACGTTCGACATTCACAGAAAAGCAGAAAATTGGGGGTGTCGTAGGTGGATGAAAACGAAAAAAAAACAGGTTTCAGATTTCGTTGTACGCTGAAAAATTCCGAGTTCTCATCTGAAAAAATTCCGCACAGTCTCTCGTTGACAAACAAAAAGAGGGAAGAAAATCGATCCACGCAATTTTATACTTTTTCTTCTCCCCTTTGGAGCCCGACGGAAACGTGCCTGGTAATCTGCATCTTTCACCGGTCGATTTCGCAAAACAAACATCCTCGGGGGGCGCGAGAACGGAAACCAGCAGTCGTGCCAAAAACACAAGAAAGCAACGAGAATTGACGATCAATGCAGTGTTTGATTATGGCTTCCCCCCTCCCCCTTTTTTTTTCTTTTCCCCACCTCGGGGGCATGAAAGAATGCAGCAGTTTTCCACGCAGTTTCCTCATCGCGGGCTTTTTTGAAATTTTTCATCATCAACCAACCCTAAATAGCCTTTTGTTTCTATCACAAAAAAATCCTCCCACCCCGTTAAAAATCACCGCTTTTCCCTCCCTTTTCGTTCCTTTTCCGCCGGAAACAATTCTCAACAACGACGCCTATACAAGTGAAACCCTAAGTGACGAAAAAGACGCTCGACTCACGGACGGAAAAGCAACTCAAGTACCAAAAAAAATCGATGATCTTACGTAAAAAGTGGAACTGAGGCAAAATAAATTATTGCACACTCACCCAGCACGCACATCAATCTGCCGTCCGGATTAAAAACCGAGCCCGAAAAAAAGACCAATTTTTGCGCGTCCACGTGTGAAACCAACCAAATAAAAATCTCATCCCTGCTAATAAGAAGCGAGTACAAAAATCGCAGTAGTTCAAAAAAGACCCAAGAAATCCGGGGGAAAACACAAGAAGAAACCCTTTCGAGTCGCCCCTAAATTACGCAAATCATCGCTCATCGGCGGGACAAAAAAAAAATCTATAAACTCATAATCCCTGTAAATGAGCCGACAATTATTCAATCTCGTGTGAGGTGGACCACAGGGAGCAAACACAAGTTACTGCAAAATAAACGCGCTCAGTTGAATTTCTCAGCCTACGAAAAACTTACACTCCTCTCATTTTTTTCCCGGTCTCTCAGCGCACTGAAAAGTTTATCCCGATTCTTGACTCCTTATTTGTCCTAGAGCGCAATGCGAACTGAAGTTCTAGTGAGATATTGGTAGCATTCAGGCGAGTTTTCAAGAAGCATTCAATTTCGCGAGCTGGACTCTGCTGGCAACGGCTGCGACCAGAGCAGCACCTCGACCACTGCCATCTTCGGAGAGCATCAAAGCGAACTGCAAAAATAAATCACAAAAATTCAGAAGAAAGTATGAGACCAACGATTAATTTACTCCGCAAATGTTTCCAAAAAATTCATTTGTTTCGGATTTATAACATTTCAAATTCTTTTGACAGGTCCATGGGGCTGCTGAGCACTTTTTTTCGCAAATTTAGCGACCTTGACTTTTTTCGGGAAGTTCAGAAAAGCGAGGATGAAATGCAATGAAAAAAAATTAAAAAGTCGGTGAAATAAAATTTTGAAATTACAGTGATAACTCGAACCTTCCTAGTCGAATTTCCTGTGTCGATTTTTTTTCAAGTCCCAGGCTGAATTTTCTTAGAAACATGACATTAAAATCCTCTCTGACTCAAACATACGAACTCAAATTTCCTGGGGGGGGGGGGGGGGCTTTTCGCTCTTATATCATAGCTAAAAAAAAAAGGGAGAAAAGCAATACAAAATTTAACTTTATCCGTTTTGAAAGGAAGTTAAGAGCTTAAGACTAACTAAACCCATGCCTCCACATTCAGCATCGTGTCGAGTCATTTATGGGGAAATTCAAGGACCAGAATATCACCAATTAAAATTTCAAGCGATTCTTCTTTCTTTTCCTCAATAAATAAGCTTATTTCCGTAACTCAAATTTTTCGTGGTCCCTCGAAGTTGGACTTCGAAGAGGTTCGACTGTATTTAAGGTACTTCCGAGTCCCAGAAAAAATATTTTTCACGCACGAGGACATTTTCAGAAGTTCTTCGACTTATAAAGGTTTTTATTCAAAAAACTCGAAATTTCGAAAATCATTCGACAATATAATCTCTGAAAGTAACATAAATTTGTCGACCGACATTTATATATTTTTTGCGTGATATCTAGCATGGAAAATATGAATACTGTTTCTGAAAATGCAGCTGTCAGATTTTGCAAACGCTCGAGGACTTCTTGGAAAAACTCCTGCAAATTCAGATCCTTAAAAAACCATCACTATTGGCATACATATTTTCGTGTGGCCATCCAGTATAGATATACAGCATTATTGTTCAAGTGCATTATCGCCGTTTTTCGATGCACCAGCGACATCTATTCATACCTCTAGACCAGGGTCGTTATTAACGAATTAGAACAGGTAGTACTCCAACACCTTCACGCCCACCTTCGCCATGTGTCTTGGTAGGTGACGGTGTCAGTGGAAGAAGAAGACTTAGAATAAGTTTTCTCACCGCTACGGACCTGAAGGAAAAATGTGTGTCAGACAATTCAATGATACCCTGTTTTTACTCTAGTAAGAGACAACATTTTTAAACCCTGAAATTTTTAATGAAATCCTCTACTTCCCCGAGTGACACGCGCACCCGATTTTTAGTGAGTGGAAAAACTATAATCATATAAAAATAAGAAACACCAGAATTCAAATTTTAACATAATTTCAACCTGGATTTAATCAATTTTCCATTGTTCTGATTTTTAAAAAGCCTCTGTCAAAAATGTCCCATAACATGCATGTGTGACACAATCATCAGCTTTCAAAATTTTTCGAAATTTATCTCTCTGCCTATGACGCGCAGCCTCATTTTTTCTTCTCAAATTTTTAGATAAAAAAGCTTCGCGTGGTACTCGAGAATATACGTTATTTGCATATTTTTCGTGCCAAATAATGTGGGAAACCACAAGTTAATTCTTTGTTTGGCCGTCTGTGCTCCACACGTCGCGCTGCACTCTGCTGGAGCGTCTGCATCGCGTGTAAGAGCGTTAGCAGCAGCCACTGCAACAGCTCGGGGTCGAGAAGAAGGTTCTACTAGGCACATTGCGTGACCTCGTTTTCCTTCTGTGTCTCAATTTCGGATATGTACTTGGTGTAGAACCGGCCCTTCTCTTCCAACAGGGGCGACGATTGGCCGCTGAAAAGCAGGCCATTGTGTGTGAGGTCCACCAGCACCAACCTCGCGATTTCCCCCATGTACATTCCCGAGAAGTAGAAGAGCATGGACTTTTCAGCCCCTCTTTCTTTAAACTCTTTACAGTTAACTTTATAGTGGTGAAGTACTGTCGCATATCGGTTTATTAATGTCATCCTGGGACTGTATGCCTGCGTGGCTACACACACGGATAATTTGAGCTGGGGACACTTGAAATGAAAAATATGAAGCCCCCAATCCGGAAAATGTCTCGATATAAGGACACTTTACTAACAGTGCTAAAAAAAATTCAGAATTTTCTTTTCCTAAATTTCTATCCCTTGAACAACTTGAGCTATTTATAGTCGCGAAAATTAAAAATAATTTTCAATATAAAATTACCCTAATAATAAAATGATAATGATGTGCTTTGTCAGAGTTTTCCCATAATTTTTGCACATGCAGTTATAGTTAGACGTGTTCTCGTTCTTTGCTTGAGCGCCTTTCTGATGCCAAAAGATCAGATTCGGTGCAATTTTCTTCATCAGTTATTTTCAGTATCTTGAAGCCGAGAAAAACATTTTTATTCAATTTTCGGGGACTTCATTTCTAATTTTTGAAGAACAGGAGACTGAGTTAAATATTTTCCCATATCAAAATCTATAAAAAATTCGATTCAATGTAACAGACGTTTCGACATAGGAACAAGGCCCCTGGACAAATTTCTTGATTAAAAATTAGCACATTCTTCGCTCAGCTTATTTATACTTTAAATCACGATGTGCGACTTTTTTCCGATTATTCACATACCGTATATGTAACTTACTTACTTTGAACTAAAAAATTACGCTTCGTCCTCATAATATTTTCATGAAAATGAAAATCTATACGCAACAACATTCATCTTTCGACGGTTAAAAGAATTTTATGGCAACCTGAACAAGCTTTCGAGGATACTTGAATGAATATAATGAGATTCATCAATTGCATTCCAATAAATCTGGGTAACCGGAGCTCGAAAAATCACAGAATGCCCTCGATTATTAGTGATAACACAATTCACTTTTATTTATAGCAGGCATTTCCGATTTTGACTCGAAATTTCAGTAATTTGGGTGCGGCTTATATATTCACACACAAAAGGATAATTTATGGCGTGGTCCGAAAATACGTGCTTATTTTTGGACAGTACCTCAGTACTGAACCTCCTCGGATGTTTATCTTCCTTTAACGATATAATTTATAGTGTGTTCCTGATCAAAAATTTATGAGTGAGAAAGCGGAAGCACATTTTTTTTCGTGATGCATTGAAAGTCGACATCAGAAATAAGTAAGGATGCTGGCAAGATTAATTTCACTCAAAAAAGCATTGAAAAATCCGAATTGAACTTATTCAATTCGAATGTGAAGAAAGAATATCGAAATTATTACAGTATTTACCTCTTGCTCTCTCGTATTTCATGAAGGACATTTTATTACCTTCATTCGCCAGTAAACTTTGCATGCCAGAGCTCTAAAACTAAAATGTACCCTGTAATTTTCATTTCTGATGATCGCTTGAATATCCAAGTCAATTTTAAATGTAACAAATCTTGAAACTCACAATTGACGACNAAAATCATTCGACAATATAATCTCTGAAAGTAACATAAATTTGTCGACCGACATTTATATATTTTTTGCGTGATATCTAGCATGGAAAATATGAATACTGTTTCTGAAAATGCAGCTGTCAGATTTTGCAAACGCTCGAGGACTTCTTGGAAAAACTCCTGCAAATTCAGATCCTTAAAAAACCATCACTATTGGCATACATATTTTCGTGTGGCCATCCAGTATACAGATATACAGCATTATTGTTCAAGTGCATTATCGCCGTTTTTCGATGCACCAGCGACATCTATTCATACCTCTAGACCAGGGTGCAATAATTGCTTAATCTTGTCCATCATGAGGTTGTGGAAGTGCGGGTGGAAGCGGTACACAGAACCATCCACTGCCACAGTCACCTTCTTCTTCTGAATCTTATTCAAAAGAGTGGCGATGCCTGGAGGATGAAAAATGTGCGTCAGACACTTCAATAATATACTGTTTTTACTCAAGTGTGAGACGGCATTTTTAAACCCTGAAATTTTAAATGAAATCATCGTTCTACTGTATATCCCCGAGTGACACGCGCACCCGATTTTTAGTGAGTGGAAAAATTATAATAATTCAAAAATAAGAAACACCAGAATTCAAATTTTAACATAATTTCAACATGGATTCAAACAATTTTCCATTGTTCTGATTTTTAAAAAGCCTATGTCAAAATGTCCCTTAACATGCATGCGTGACACAATCATCAGCTTTCAAAATTTTTCGAAATTTGTCATCTCTCTGCCTATGACGCGCAGCCTAATTTTTTCTTCGCAATTTTATAGAGAAAAAAGCTTTGCGTGGTACTTGAGAATATACGTTATTTGCATATTTTTGGTGCCAAATAATGTGGGAAACCAGATGTTTTAAGAAACAAACCGGCAGACACGAGGTGTGCAGCGCGACGTGAGACGACCTCGCAGACGTAGCGCACATTCTCGCAATCGTCGTCGGTGACGTTGTCGAGCCCCAGCTCTTCTTCCAAGATGATCCGTTCATCTTCTCGTACCTGAAAAGTCGGGGAGAAAGAAATTTGAGAAATGTCAATTGAAATATCACCACTTCATGACAGCGTATAGCCAAATAATTACAGTAGGACCCTGACATACGGACGCACCGATGCCACACGGATAATTTGAGCTGAGGACACTTAAACTGAAAAATATGAAGCATTAACACGGAAAATGTCTCGAAATAAGGACACTTTACAAACAGTGCTAAAAAAATTTCAGAATTTTCTTTTCCTAAATTTCTATCCCTTGAACAACTTGAGCTATTTATAGTCGCGAAAATTAAAAATAAATTTCAATATAAAATTACCCTAATAATAAAATGATAATGATGTGCTTTGTCAGAGGTTTCCCATAATTTTTGCACATGCAGTTATAGACGTGTTCTCGTTCTTTGCTTGAGCGCCTTCTGATGCCAAAAGATCAGATTCGGTGCAATTTTCTTCATCAGTTATTTTCCGTATCTTGAAGCCGAGAAAAACATTTTTCTTCGATTTTTGGGGACTTCATTTCTAATTTTTGAAGAACAGGAGACTGAGTCAAATATTCTCCCATGTAAAAGTCTAGAGAAAATTCGATTCAACGTAACAGACGTTTCGACATAGGAACAAGGCCCCTGGACAAATTTCTTGATTAAAAATAAGCACATTCTTCGCTCAGCTTATTTATACTTTAAATCACGATGTACGACTTTTTTCCGATTATTCCCATACCGTATATGTAACTTATTTACTTTGAACTAAAAAATTACGCTTCGTCCTCATATATTTTTATGAGAATGAAAATCTATACGCAACAACATTCATCTTTCGACGGTTAAAAGAATTTTATGGCAACCTGAACAAGCTTTCGAGGATACTTGAATGAATATAATGAGATTCATCAATTGCATTCCAATAAATCTGGGTAACCGGAGCTCGAAAAATCACAGAATGCCCTCGATTATTAGTGATAACACAATTCACTTTTATTTATAGCAGGCATTTCCGATTTTGACTCGAAATTTCAGTAATTTGGGTGCGGCTTATATATTCACACACAAAAGGATAATTTATGGCGTGGTCCGAAAATACGTGCTTATTTTTGGACAGTACCTCAGTACTGAACCTCCTCGGATGTTTATCTTCCTTTAACGATATAATTTATAGTGTGTTCCTGATCAAAAATTTATGAGTGAGAAAGCGGAAGCACATTTTTTTTCGTGATGCATTGAAAGTCGACATCAGAAATAAGTAAGGATGCTGGCAAGATTAATTTCACTCAAAAAAGCATTGAAAAATCCGAATTGAACTTATTCAATTCGAATGTGAAGAAAGAATATCGAAATTATTACAGTATTTACCTCTTGCTCTCTCGTATTTCATGAAGGACATTTTATTACCTTCATTCGCCAGTAAACTTTGCATGCCAGAGCTCTAAAACTAAAATGTACCCTGTAATTTTCATTTCTGATGATCGCTTGAATATCCAAGTCAATTTTAAATGTAACAAATCTTGAAACTCACAATTGACGACCAGGATTGAGCGATTGCTCGTCGATAAGGTGGTCGTATTTTGTTCGCACAAAGTCGAGCTCGTTGTGGTCACCAAATGCTCCCCATTCCGTATTCACAACCACCTGAAAAAAAACGCAGAATATCTGCTGAATATCTATCGAAACAATGCTTATTAGCATCGAAAAACAATTTTCGAAATGCCGCCAATATTCATGGAAGATATAATTGACCGATAATTCTGCGAATTATTCCGTCGATCTTGAAAAAAAGGCGACGTTGCTGAGAGGAAATTCAGTAAAACAAAGCAAGTGATAAAGATGGAATTCTCGTGATTTCATTTACCCAAGCGTTTTTGACTTGAAATTGAATTTCAATTGATCAAAAAATAAATAAAAATAGGTAAATACCTGATCAGGTCCATCGGCTCTCTCGTCATCCGGATATCTGAGTACATTCTCAAGCCTTTCCATGTAACAAGCATTCGTTCCAGTCCCTAATTAAAACCCAAAATAAAGAATGCATGAGCTTTTCACAAATTATTACGGATCTTGGGAGATGCAGGAAATCGCGGGGATATAAAAAAACACACACCAGAGAACCTCAACGACACGGTGAACGACTTTACTTGGAAAAATACAGAGATTTCTGATATGACCCTGATAAAATCATTTGAAAGAGAAAAGAACAAAAAAACCCACACAGAATAGGGGCAAGGAATCAACAATGATGAATTCATCTTGGTTAGGAATTCGCTGCCACACTCTAATGAACCATCTACTTGAATACCGAGTTCCTCTTCCTTCTATCGGGAACAACACCGAGCCGCTTTATACAGGAAGTTACGGAATTTCCCCAAAAGCTCAATAGGTATCACCGCAATCTCTGCCCTTTAAATTCTTCTAATCAATCAAATCTCGACACACAGACAGACATTCACACACACACACACACACACAGCAGAAGCTTCGCATGACTCAAAAGCCCCCCAAAAATCCCCTACCAACGATGATCCCGACAAAACAATCTGGATTCTTCCAAGCACTCGACATCAGAGTTCCGGTCGTGTCGTTGACCAAAGCGCAGACTTCAATCGACACATTCTTCATTTCAGCGAGAAAGACGGGAAGAGAAAAGAAAATTGGCATCAGAGAGTTGTGTCAAACGTGTCTCACCAACTATAACGCCGATCTCAGCTGTTGGGTTCTTCCATGCACACGACATTAAGCAACCCGTCGTGTCGTTGAGAACTGCCAAAACGTCAAGGTCGACGTCCTGGTGATGGGTCAAACACGACACGACATCCAGATTCACGCAGCACACAAAACAAACAAAAGGACATTCAAAATGTATTTGCATGAAATTGCGGCACACAATGCTCGCTTAGAAAAAAATGTAAAAATTCTGGGAAATTATTCCAATTTGAACGCTGAAAAGTTTCGTATTGCCTTTTTCGAATTTTGTTTTATTTGAAATTGAAAACGTGCACATCTTGTTTCTTAAATCATCATCCGAGACCAAAAGACATGTCTTCCACGTTCTCAACTGCAGCCCGAAGACTTTCTCTGGTCAAAATGTTGAAGGAAATTCAGAAGTATGCCAATCAATACTGATTTATGATAAAATAAGCTGTTGTCGAAGATTATTCATACTGAAATAAATCTGCTAAAAAAACGCGTACCATATAGCGACAGATTTTAATAGTGACTTGAGATTCCTCTTAATATCATAATTCAAAAATATTTCAATGTAAACTGATCAATAAGTGCAGTAAACATTTACTAAAAATGTGTTTGACACTTTAAAGAAGCATTTGCACTGATTTCATCTGTGAAATGCGTCCAGAAAAAATATGAGGACCGATGCATCTTTTCAGCAATAAACTGGGGAGAAATTAATTTTGAATTCTTGTTGAAAGGGAAATCGTATTATTCTTGCCACATTAAACATTCTGACAACAGAGTTAACACGTGTAGACGAGAAAAGCACGACGTAATTTTCCTGCAATTATTTTTAATTACCGTAGTGCTTATTTTAATGCAAATAAAGGTCAACCGAACTGCAAATATTTTGAATAAAATCAACCTTTTCTCAAAATTATCCAAAACTGTTACGATTTCTGGCTTTTACAGATGAAAAATTCAGAGCAGATGTTTTTTTTATTCGTATGTTTGATCATGAATGAGAAGATGGCACCGAGGAACATGCAGTAATATTTATACTGTACTTGAAACTAAGTGCAAATAAGGTGATAATTTTAATGCGTATGAAAGTCAACCGAACTGTGAATGTTTAGATTTGTTGAAAAAAATCAAGCCTTTTCAAAACCTTAGATTTCTCACTGTTCAAATAAGGTGACTATATGCTTCCAAACCGAAAATTTGCATCATGAAAAGGAAAAGGGGGAAACCCATAATTCTACAGCTTTTGAAACCAAGTGAATTGAATGGGCAAGTTTTTACCCCTCGACGAGAAATGGCCTCTCGAAGCAGGCGAACGACGTCTTCTCCTTCGACACCGGAACACTTGAAGCCTTTGGTCCAGGTGACGAGTCTCGCCTTCGTCAGGCCTTCTTGGCTGCACGGGAAGGAAAACGTGAACCCAAGTGGCAGTTTCAAGTCAGCCACCCCGTGTTCCTTGGTGAATAAACTTAAGCAATCCACGATGTGGTCGAACAACTGAAATGTCAAGGCAACACACCAACGTTTTTACTATATAGAGACGTCCTTTCACAATGGCTACACAGTACTTTAAATAAATTTCAAACCACCAGATTTACGAAAATAACGCGCCTCGAATTCATGCTAAAGCTGTTCTAATTCTGGCTTCTCGCCGAATCTGAGCAAATGTCATGAGAACGTTATAACCCTGTCCTTTTCTCAGAAAGGGAAAAGGTTTTGTGTTATACAGTATTCCTACATTCGTAACTAATTCATATTTTCGTCACTCATTCATATGATCCAGTTCTCAAATGTATTTATTCAAGTGAAAATTGCTTCATATCGATTGCAAGATTAATTTGATAAAAAAACGATAAAACGACCTTTGTTTATTTGCGGTTTGTCTTTATAGCTTTGTTCATAAAACAAGTGAAAACAAGTCCTCCATTTATTGCAGAAGTGTATTCAGTATGATAAATATAGTTGAATACGGTATTATAAATTTTGAATAACGAAGACCTTTCAATCTCGATATGAAAGTCAAAATAGAAGAGTTGTCCTCCTTTTTGGGAAATATTTTGTCCCATTTATTGAGTAAGGAGCTCGAAACGTCACAGCATTTCTGCTTAAGATTATACAGTCGTATTATAATTAAATTCATCATCCATAGAAAAACAAAGCAACTTTATTCAAGTTGAGGATGATTCGCTGGCTAGACATTCTAGAGCAGGAAATGCAGTAAAATCTTGTTACAATGAACTCCCAGGGACTTGGTAAAAAATGTGTTATAACAAAAAATTGATTGTATTGAGATTCATGATTTCTACACATTTTAGACTGAAATTTTGTAGGAAAGGGGCAGTAAATACTTTCAAGTGATTCCAAAACAAATAATTAAATAATCATATCCTAAATAATGAGTATTCATGATGAAATGACAAGAACACTTGAAATTAATAGTACTTTCCTTCTACTGAGCCTGCCATTCTACTAAAAAGTCACATTTGTTTCAAAATATACAAATGAACATTAGTACATTTAAAATGAATGCTTCCTTCTGAATAAACTTTTTCATTCATGCATGTTCTTGCAGATGGAGGAAAATTCTTTCAATCATACATGCACTGTATATTGGGAAGAAAGGCATATAATCTAGAATGGAGCTACTGAATTTCCAAGAAATAAAGTACTTCACGTTTTGTATTTTTTGAACAGGAAGATTTTTTGGCAGGAATTTCTTCTTTTTGATGACGTTGAAATGCTGCACTTTTTATTTTTTGTCATAAATATCAATCAAACCCTATTGTCTTCACACAGAATGAAATGGGAAACCACAGGGACCAATAAAAAATTTGTTAAAATGAAAAATTCGTTATGGGATTCGTTGTATAATGGAATTATATTGTAATAAAAATATCTGAAATAAAAAGCAAATTTCTGTTAACAAAGCTTAAATGAAAAAATAACTCAACCCCTCAGTCAATTTTCCTCCTTCCGTGAAAATCGCATAAATTACCATCCCAGAAACAAATCCTTAGAGCGTTAAAAAAAATTAACCTGTTCCCTTGAGCGTAAAGGGATAAATCCAGCCCTACAACGGAAACGGAAGCAAGTTCACGAACAATCTACCAATCAGAACACGTACACACGGGCAGGAGTAAACCACAAGACTCAGCGTGAATAACTTCCGTATGAGTAAGTGAGGTGGAGCGAGAGAAAACAAATTGCCGCCCTTAACAGCGTGTCGACGCTGGGTGAAATCGATGAATCACTACTCTTTCAAGTTTCTTCCACGAACACGAGTGTTACCAACTTCGTCATTCATCAAATTAATTTATGAACTCTGTCACTTAACTACAGTAGTTCAGTGTCAAAAATAAATAAAATTGGCACGATTTTCTTCAGCAAATAAGATTTTTAAACATGTTACTGAAGTACAGTACAGTGAAGTACTGTACTGTAATTTACCATTGATCCCGCAGAAGGAAGCTTCCTTGAATCTTTAAAATTAAACTCTCATATCAGCGTAGAAATGAACATTTTCTAGCTCTTTCCTGAGCAATTTTTCCTACACATTATTTCACGAAAGGTTATTCTCAAAATGTCCCGCTTCATTGCGATTTTTAAAATACAATATTAAGAATATGGGATCACTCATTTTTTTCGAATCGAAACATTTCGAGATTTCAAATAACAGCATTTTTACTGCACGAACATAAAATACTAATTCAAGTAAAACGACATGTTTATCCTGCTTCTAAACAACATACATGACTCAACATGGTTTTGTAATTGTATTGTGATAAAATACATGACCGAATTTCGATAATTTTTGAACATTTAAAAATCTCCAAATAAGACCGCGATTTGTAAGTCTAGAAAACGTATAGGCGGGAATCAGCAAATATTTCAGGAAACTGAAGAATAATTTCTTCCTTCAGGATACCTTCAGAATCAATTCGCCCCATGACGAAATTTCCAAACGTTGACAAAAAATAAATGAAAACTGGGAATAAATTATTTGCTCATGCGCTGCTCCAGACACCCCAGTGAAATCATCAATCGAATCGAAACGAAAAAAAATCAATGCAATCTTGCATCACTCCCACCCCCCCTCTCTCTCTCAAATACGAAAATCGAGAAATGAATCCAATCAGCCAAGTACTTCAAGGATGAATCATGACTTCGGATCATGTCCTGATGGAGAATTGCGGCGGGCGCCGAAGCATTTAACCTGACCAGCAAAAATAAAGTATCGTCTGTCTTTCTTCGATTTTATGAAACTTCGCCATTCCTTGAGTAATATGCAAGTTCTATCCAAACCTCTCCCTCTCTTTTCCATCAAGTGCCTTGTCTGGCAACGCTGATCAATTTTGCCCCAGGCTACCAGACAAGGACGCCGAAGTTGAAGTCGACCCGAACGTTCGCGGCGGCGGAACAACTCAACAGCAATGATTTTCGCTCGCGACCAGAAAAACTAAAAAAAAAAAGGAGGAAATCATGTCGCCATCGGCGTGTGCAAAGAATTCACTCCCATGAGAAATAAAAGGGAGGTGGAAGAAAACCACTACATGGGAAGGAATTCCAAGCTGGCATGTGGTGAAAAAAAGTTGATAGAAGGAAAAAGTATAGAGAAGGGAAACAAAATAAAAATTTTTAACTTACCCCTTCCCCGGAACCAAGCATGACCTTCTGCGGCACAGCGAAGATTTTTGACTCCATGGAGAACTTGTTGGGACCGAGTTCGATAAGCAGCACACGGAAATTTGTGCCGCCGAGATCCAGCGCCAGGAATTTCCCGGTCTCTGAGAATTTTTCCGACGAAATCCAATTCAGTTTTGGGTCAAAAAATCGCAAATAGGACTCTTCGCAACTTCAATGACCGAGTGAAACAAATCTTTTAAACTAACGTGACGAGACGAGATTGATTTTTTTTGGGGTGGCGAAGAAAATTTATGAAGCAAATTTCAGTCTAAGATGGACCAAAAATTCAACAGTTTATGAATGCTTCCTATACGCTTATTCCACCATTTTCTAGTTGCAGTGATCAAATAGTGAAAAGGTATCCCACTGATCAGGGATTACGGAGTCAAGACGAAAAAACAAGCACCAAAAATAATTAAAAATACCATGTTTATTTCCACTAGTTGACCGAGAATTCAGTATTCAAATCATGTAAAAACTCGGATAATTATAACTCAATTTTTTGTCCAGATTTATCTCAAAAGGATAATACAGAGAATAATTCGTGCCAATTCGAAGCATTTTATCTGTCGAACAGAAAGCACAATTCGAATAAAGGACGACTTATTGGAGAAAGTTGGTCACGGTGAGTTCTTTCTTTTTCGAGCCTCCCCGAAAATTGAACCTTCACGTAAAATTGCACGTCTCTTTCAAAGATTACCCTTTTCCTCAGGAATTTAAACACACGCCTCTATTTGAAAAAAAGTTAAATGAGAAGACAAAACTTGCCTTTTCCATTTGGCAATTCGCGCACGAACGTCGGGAAGCATTTGACTGAAGCTGCAGCGTTTGTTTCAACACAGAGACCCTTGTTGATTTCCTTCAACAAGGCATCGCATGTATTTCGCACTTGGTCGTCGCTCAGAATCAGGCATTTGCAGATGTCCTCAATCTTTGCGGAGAAAAGGAAATCGAAAGAAAGAAAATATTCATCACTTTCATTTTCTTATTTCCACGATGGAAAACGAAATTTTTTTTTAGCATTTTTGAATCTCGCCTTGAGCACGAAATGTTTTTTTCTGTGTCTCAAATATTTGCAGAATAAGTACCTTATCTCTCAAATTAACGGATTCGTTCGAGTCACGATCAGCTTGGTATTTGTTTTGCTCAGGGTTGTGGCAAGAACGGGAATATTCGTGTTCGCAGAAATCGTGACGCTGTTGATCATAGAAACCGCAGCTACAAGTCAAGTATTCCATGACCATCTTCAAATTCATTGAATTTCCTTTTTTATTCTTTTTGCTCCTCGCTGAAAAAAATACCCTCAAACTTCTTTCTCACAACCCGAAGTTCTCAAATCGCAGCACTTTATATGTCCCGAAGTTTTGAAAAACAAAGTGTTGTTTTTCTACACGCAGTTTTGAAGATCCTTTGCGTTCGCGAAATCCGTATCGAATTCGGCCTGGAAACGTGATCACAACGATCGCAAATTGTTCTAAAAACTGACAAGAGAAAGGAATTTCATCTCAAGGTACTTCAAAAATCAAAATTTTGTCCCTAATAAAAATAAAATCGAGAAAATTTTCAGAGAATGATGATCGAAACAAGCCGCAGGCACAGCAAGGTCGTGGCAAGGCTCTCACGCACTTCTCGAATCACTCGATTAGTATCAATATGTAGTACATGTTCGTATACTTATTTTCCATTAAAAGAACACTGCATTAACTTGGAAAATAAGACTAAAAAAAAAAAAAAGCTCGGCGAAGGTGAACCACCGACTCTGACTGCAGACTGGAAACGTTCCACGATTTTGCCGCGGTTCACCTCCGACGAACTCCCGCCAGAAGGAAATTGACTTCGGGCGACGGAGAACATTTCACTGATATCAAAAGGGAAGTTTCCAATTTTCCAGTGATTTCGTGGTCGATCACAGCAGCCGTCATCAATGACGCAGCAAGTATTCTCTTACAAAACTATCGCCTGCATTTTAATAGCATCCCGGGATAGCTCGAAAAAATGAATTTTCAGGAAATGCGCGATCTTTAAATCACACAACGAAAGAAATCAAGAGGCGTCTCATCACATAATCCAATAACAGAATTTCGGTTTATTACGGAGGTCCGTTAAAAGCGTAAAAAATGAAATCATAATCGTCAAAACTTAAACTCGCAGAAGTTATTTGGAATAATTCCTTGAATAATCTGAAACAAATACAGAAAATTTGAGATAATTGTTTGTCAGTAAAAAAGTTTTAAACCCATTCTTCTAGCTTTTTTCTCGTGGAAACAGTGATTCGAAGGGAATTTCAGAAAATATGCGATGTTCAAATCACGTAAAAAAAGAAGTGTCTCATCGCATAATTCAATCACAAGATTTCGGTTTCTACGGATATTCATTAAATGCGCGACAAATGAAATCATAATCTTCAAAACTTAACTCGTAGAAGGTATTCGGAATAATTAGTTGAATAATAATCTCAAACAAATACGGAAAACTTGAGGTGATAATTTTTTCCTTTTGCAACAGATTTTTAAAACTCAATTCTTCTCATCATTTTCTTGTGGATACAATGATCAGCAAGCAATTTTAGGATATATGCGTCTCTCAAATCGCGTAAAATAAATCAAGAAGTGTCTCATCACATGATTCAATTACAGGATTTATGTTCTCACGCAGGTTCATTGAATGCGCAACAAAACTTCAACTCGTAGATGGTATTTTAAATCAATAGTTTAAGAATACTGTATAATTTATACCAAATAAAAGATACCTTGAAATTAAAATTGTTCCGTCTTTTTATAACCTCGATTCTCATCATTTCGTCGACACCATGTGATGGTTAATGTTTCCGTGCTTGATGTAATTTCAAATAAACTTGACAGTCTTCCCCTTTCTTTTTGAAAAAATTTCCCTTAAAAAGCTAGTCGTTTCACTTTCATCATGCGCAAAAAGAGTTTCTAAAAATATACTGGGTCATGGGGTGAGATATTCGAATTCAAGTCCAAAACCAAGTAAGTACTGCTCAGGCAACAAAGAATTGCAATTTTTTCACTGAAACCCATGAAAAGCTAGTGCAATTTTTTTATATCATGTGCAAAAGAAGTTTCTAAAAATTTCATTTTAATACGTCATGCATGCTGGGATCAACAACTTGAAATCAAGTCCAAACTGAGGAAAAGAAAGATTAGAAAACCGAGAATTGACCTTTTCTCACTCAAACCTTCAATGGTGACTTATGTAACTTAATCCGTATACTGCTGTGTCTTAAACCAACATTATAGTTATCAGTAGCGTTTTTCCATGGAATCCCTGTGGAACGTTGCTGTGCATGCAGCCATTGGCCACGCGTTGCTTTTCTACGTCATGTACGTCTACATCTACGACCCACCAGAAAAGACCGATTATCTCCGGAAACTGAAAATCCGGTTACAACAACAGCAGCAGCAGCAGCAGCAACAAGAACAAGAATCTCTTCGACAAGCTCAAGAACAAAGGGCTCAAGAAACAAACAATGAGACAGTTGACGCGACGAGATTTCGCGGTTCCGATTCGCTTACAAATTCGTCGCAGACCAACTGGTGGTGACTTTCGTTAAATTTTTTCGGGATGATATTGAGGTGCTCAATAAAAAAAAAAAAACTGAAGACTGGGAATCGCGAGGAGCTGATTTTCCGATGTACGCAAGAGGAAATGAGGGCGAATGTACTGTGGTGTACTTTTTCATAGACTGGATTCCTGAGGGTTGTTCAACCTGCGTTTTGGCGAATGGAATGCCGGCTAGTCGTATTTACGGCCTTTGCTTCTCTTGAAGGAAATTTTCTTTTGTTTCTATCTGCTCTTTTTCATTATAAGATGAAGAAATAAAATTCTTCGATTAAGGTCGGCTCCACGCTTATGTATTTTGCACCACTGTACGTGCTCATCTTTTCCGCAATTGGAAATTAATTTCAGTGTTTTTTAAACATATAATTACGGGAAACTAAAGACATTAATTCATTTCTTGTACTGCACACACCTTCGCCGAGTTCATCTGAAGTGTCAGAAGTAAGAAAAATGAAATTTGGGGGAATTATTCGTAATTCAGAAGCGGCCTAATATTTCAGTTTAAAATTCACTTTAATTGAATGATGGTATGTAAAGGTTCGATCAGTTGTGAACTTCTGGTATCATGGGAGTTGGTACCAGTTTAAGCACATTCCCCTGCTGTTAAATTTAAGAAATTAATTAATTTTACGAGTATTTTATTGAACGATGTTCTTTGTTCTCTGATACTTCGACACTTTTATGGCGTCTAAAACTTGCAGATGAAGTGCACTATGAAAGATTCATAAAAGCACAAATATCAGCATTGATTTTCTTGTTGAGCTCGATTGAAAAACTTTCTATTTTTCATAAACACAGTACTGTACTTAATTTTTTTCGTCAAGTTCAGACAAAAACGATCATAGTCGGAAATCGTGCATCTCTAAGCGGGTGGCATGAATCAGAAAATATATGCTGTTTCTTCTAAGAATATTCTTGATTTCTTTTTGAGCTCGATGGCAAAATAAACGTTCCAGTTTTTATAAGCACAGTACTTAATTTTACTAATAGTTGCTGACTGAAGAACGATCATTCAGATATTGTGGATCTCATTTTCATGGAAATGTGCAGTTCAATAATATTACAATTTTTCAAGTCGAGTACGGGGAACAATATTTGGCTTGAAGCGGGTGGCATGCATCAAAAATTGTTAGCTCGAAACATTTTTCGATTCCTTGTTCAGCTCGAATTAAAAAACAAATTCAGCATTGATAAATACAGTATTGTACTGTACTTCATTTTTTAAAGCTATTTTCTGACTGAAGAGCGATCATAGTCAGAAATATAGTGGATCTCGTAAATGTCGCGGGTTGAATGTCAAGTGTGCACTACAATCAAATTTATTTTTTCTATTTCGAGTTAGGGGAAAATACTGTATTAGACTTGATGCGAGTGGCATGAATTAAAAGTTTTGGCAAGGAACATTTTTCGATTTCTTGTTCAGCTCGAATAAGAGAAAAAACTTTCCATATTGATAAATACAATACTTCGTTTTATGGTTAATTTCTGACTGAAGAACGATCATATAGTCAAAAATA